ATGCAAATCTACATCTCTTTATCTGATCTGAACTGCGATTAAAAATGCGGTTTACTATACTTTCATGAACGAGCTGCAGGTTTGATGTGGTGGTTTTAACAGCACCAATGATAGACCAAGCATAATCACAAGGTACGCTACACTATGCTACTGTTTATTTAATACCATTTTTTTCCAATAATTTTGTCAGTTTTCATGACAAATTAAGAAAATAACTACAATATTTTAACCTCAAATTAATAAATTATATCTAAAACTGTATATATAGACATATAAAACCTTTACATTTTAGATTGTATTACATTTTTTATATTGATTTCGTGACATTCATGGTGCACTGACAATGCTTTATATTTTTGACTTAACTTCACTACACAAGAATTCTTTTATTAAAATGTATAATTTATACATATGTTTATATATTATTTATAATACAATTTTGTCATTTAATACAGGCAGTCAGATAAATGAACTGTTTTTACCAATTTTACCAGCTCAAAAAAAGGTCTTTGACCGTATCAACAAAACTCAAGTGCATGCACAGAACAACATGTGCATTTATAGCAAATTAATCAATGCAAATACATTTAAAGTGTTGAAAAGATTTTTATGCATTATTGAAACATCAGGGAGGACACAGCAAAGAAATATGACTTATTAAATTAAAACTACTTTATAATGTTATGCGACACATTTAAATTAAAAGGGAAACATAAGAGCAATCTTAAGCAAAAAGAAAGACTCCTAGCCTATAAGGTGTCTTATGGAACATCTTAAGCTGACTAGTAGCAAATTTTTTTCTTTCCCTTATATTTATTCATCATAATGATGGAACTTGTGACCTTAGTTGGCTAATTATGGTTTTTGGAAATGCACCCCTGGGCGGATTGTTTGATTTTAAGGGCGTTCGCTTGCACTGGTCCAACAATGAAAAAAACGGTTGTTCCTTCCGCTACCTGGTGGATATTGCGAAAAGCACAAAAATGAAAAGCGGCCTTTGCTGCTGCACCACAGTGCGTGACTTCGCATGACAAATTGTAGCACTACTTGTGAAGAAACACACATTCTCTGTGACCATATCGGTATTATCCCGCTTGCTTTTTGAGCATTATCAAGCAAGTTTATAAACACCTTTGATTGGTCATTGTGTTTCCGCACTCAACAGAAAGGATTGGCTCTAATGCTGCGTTCACACCAGAGTAATTTACATGTTAAGTCAGTGCAAAAACGCGAATAGACATCCTACGGTGCAATACGCGCAAATGAGGCAGTGCAAGTCGTGCGAGTTGAGCGTTTTGCGAGATTGATGCACCTAAAGGGCATTCTGCACATACCGCACGAATCGCTTGAGTTGGAAAATCTGTACTTCATCGAACATTCGCGCCACATTAAATGAGCTTTCTCTTGTAGGGGCGAATGAAACAAGTAAACTCAAAATGTTCACGTGTCTTTATGTGCGAATAGTGCGATTTATTCTTGCATACTGCGTCTGGTGTGAACACAGCAAAACAGTCAGCTCTGGCGTTATTCGCCGATGTTATATATGGCCGCGGGTTGGATAATTATAATTACTTGTGCTCGCCTCCCTCACCATAGTAATAATCTAAATAATTCCAGCTTTTGGGATTTGAAAATCACACTTTTTCAAATCACGGTTTCGGTTTGAAAGTAATTAATTGTGCAGGCCTACCTTCTATTGCTAATTTTTCACTAGATGCCATTTGTAAATTCTGAGTGAAGTTTAATACTAAAAGAAGGTTTGCACTGGCACAAGCTGTTAGTGAATCCAGCCAAAAGTTGTTTCAAATGTCAATGAAGATCTGCCCGCTGCCCTTGTTGTGTGTGTTGTATTTTGTGTTGTGTGTGTGTGTTTATTCAAATGAGCCATGAGCTGATGGGAATTGATAAAGCTGATTAAAGAATGCACACCCTGCTGGTTGCTTTGGCACTTTTACGTGTTTGCTTTTTTCTCACTTTGGCTGTTCTGTTGGGACAGGTTGCAGAGAGAAGCAACAGATGCCCCACTAAGTCTCCGTGGCAGCCTGGTCCTATTAGTGGTCGTTTGGCGAGTGATCTCTCGTTAATGGGCCCCTGTGAGTTACGGGGTCCAGCGGCCTCCCCGTGCCACGAATCGTGTGGGAAATGCGTTAACATGAGTTATTATACGCTCTCCGCCGCGGAGCACAGCCCTTTGGGTCAAGTCCACGCTTTAGAAAAATGGATGCATTAAAATTGAGCTGCAGGGGCGATGGCTTCACATTCTAATTGATGCCATTCTGGAGGTGGATATAATAGCTGCAAGTCCTCGTCAAAGACTCGTCCTCGTTTGCCGTTATGGTGGAGTTATCCTAGACGGGTGAATCATAAGAGGCTGTCTCTGCAGGTCAATTAACAGTTTTGTGGTGTGAGGTATGCTGAGCAGTTGGGCAAACAATGTGAGGCCTGACCAACCACCAGACTTTAATCGTCAGACAGCAGTCGGGAGGTAGGGGTGACATTGCTATTTGAATGAAAAACGAGACTGTGTTTCGGAGGGTCATGAAAGTAAAGTGTGAAGCAGAACCAATTAAAGTCTACGCTTGATTATTACAGGAAGAGTCAAAAGTGAAATGTATATATTCTTCGTATATTCCAACCTATATAATTTTTTTTTTATTTAGCACAAAAGAGACATTTTGAAGACCACAGCTCCAAATTACCCTAAAAAACACATAGAAGTATTGCAGAAGGGTTCTGTACATCTGTATATGTTTTGATATGCCGAATTTAAATGTACTTGAACTGAGATTGAGATGTGTAAAAATTATTTTCAATGAATGTTTACATAAATCTAGTATTTTTCTTACACAAACGCTGCAACCTTTTTTTTTTTTATTATTAACTGTTTAACTGTTCCATTCTGTGCCAATCCAGGCAAAAATATTTTTTTGATGATGATTCAATGTCAATTTGTCATTTTATTTGTTGAACCCCAGGAAGAATAGCCACTATGTATGTAGGTAGTGACTAATGGGGATCCAGTGTATCCTCTAGGATTTTTTCCAGCTCTGACAGCAGGCCTTTTACCCAGATACCAGATACCTATGGCAGTATTTCAATGACTTATGATATGAGCGCAGTATTACAAGTCGAGATCACATTTATGCAATACGAGCATGCCAAACTCTTTGCTTGTGCACCGATTTCCTGCACAAAACTTTTTGCAAACCCTCAAATATACGCGGCTCAAGTGCAGATTTTCTTGTGTGATCACAAATAAACGCTGCTGAAGTACGATTTAGTGCATTTATGTTACGAGCATGTCTCCAACAATTATTAGATTTGCTAGAATATTTATGAATGTCTCCAATAGACAGAGCGGCATTAATGCTTTCTGAAGTAAAGTGAAACGGCTATAAACCACTGCATGATCAAGTCATTGTATGCAGAGCCATAGATCTTTATCTATAAAGTATAACTATGGAAACTGTGTTCATCTTAACTGAAAGCTGCGTCATGTTTGCTGGCCTCACACACCTGTCAGTCAGCATGTCACCTTAAAAGTTTAAACAAATAAAGCACAGCACTACTACTGTTACAGAAATGTTTGCGCTGTTATAATTCACTTAGCTTTTAATACGTTTTGGTGCGATTTATAACCCGCTATTAAAAAACCCCAAAAAAGACGACTAAATGTTTTAAATAAGAAGCTGTAATGTATGCGTGGTGGGATGAATTTTGGTGTGGCATCTCACAATGGAAGAATGAATGTTGCAGAAACCATAGGTATCTTCATAAACAACAATAGTGGAGTTGACTGGAATGTAATACAAATGCTCAAGTTATTGACTTACTAATGCAAGTATTATGTAAAATAAGACATTGATGATAATCCGATATATCTGTTTGAAAACCTTTTTTCTGGTACTGTTTTGTCAAATAACAAAAAATAAATAAAGTGTAAATGAATAAAGCTTATGTATAGCCTGCTACAAAGAAACTAGCTGCCAGGCAACAAAATGGTAGCATTACACACACAAGCTCTTTACCATTTCAGCATGATCCGTGCCTGGAATTACGTGCAGAGAATGCTTTGTAATCATGCGCGATGTAACAAGCTCATGTGGAAATACAACTGGAACCATACCGCATTGTTCTTAGAATTGTGGGAAAGCTGCTAAAGTGATTTAAAGGACTAGTTTAATCGATGTACACAGATCTTGTAGCACATTTATGTAATGTCATTCTGTGATCATCATTGGCTGCCCTCAAATAGCATCTACTTTGTCATCATACACTGTAGTTGATGAGTTCTTGTCAACATCATGTTGAGAGTAGTTTTTAAGTAATGTGGCCCCTTTTATGGTGCTTTATTTGTAATTTCAGAGCCTTCCTTCGGTCTCATTTTCTTTTCATTGTATGTTAAAAAGTGCTGTTTTATCATACTGATAAACATTAAAAGACAGGACAGAAAGACATTTTTTCTGGAATGATTACTTTTAAAAGAATAAAAAGCCCATAAGCTATCATTAAAAAATATGTGTCTTTGAGCTCTGATGCAACAAATAATAGCTCCTCCATAAAATATTTTTATTATGACGGCTTTCATCTTTTAAAGATGGTGCATAACATGCCCTAGAGAAATTGCCATGTATTGCCGTCATGTTAGAGGTGTTAAAATGTGTCTGATACCCGATGAGAGGAAACGCTGTGGAAAAATTCATCAAAAACAATGATGTTAGAGCGGATCAAATATACAAGACAGCATGAGCATTTGTTTTGAGTTCTCTTCAGTAGGCACGTTTTTTTGAGGGACAAGATTTTCCGCTTGCGTCTGGTCTCTGACGTCGGTGCCAAAAATAACATCTGTGAAAAAGTTTCACCTGCGCCTGCCTGTAATTTGCCGCCTCTGTAGTTTTTGTGTGCGTGCGTGTGTGTCTTGTTCTGTCACCTTTGAGCTATGACTCGAGATTCAACTCTCTCTCCTCCTACACTCTTTTGTTTTCTGTTTTTGCCCTCAGGTTTGCTGACTATATTCGAGGAATGCTGAAGCTGATTTTGGTGCTGATGTTTGCCGGCGCATCCTTGGCGGCCACCTGGTTCACGCTCACCTGCCTGACCAGGCTCACTCACCTGCCCTCCACGAAAGGTACGCTGTAGTGAAAAGGACAGTATGTTCTGCCTCGTGCACATCCCCTAAAACTGTCACCCCGCAGGGAGTCTGGCAGACGAAAGCCAGCGTAGGGAAGCTGCAATTGTATTGGTGAGAGGGAGCCAGAGGAACTCATTAAGTCCAGATCAGTTAAGGGAAAAAGCGAGTGGGGCTCTAGAGAAGCCGGCCTGAAACAAACATATGCCCCATAGATCAGCCTGCTCAAATATTTCCATCAATTATCATTTGATGGTTGGCACCTGACTTTTTTTTATCTGTTTTCTCCCAGAATTCCTGGCAGGCTCATGGGCCGTCGCTCCATCTGCCATGATTTTATATCGCACACTCGTGTCCCATTGTCATCCTTGGCTCCCCATGCCCCTCGTGATTCATATCACTCACTAATGAATACAAGGCTATGTTGTGGCAACATCAATTCATCACAACTTATTCTAGCTGGAATCGTTATGCATGGAATAATTGACAGCAGTTCTTTGTCTACCATGTCCCTGTAATTTAACAGCGCCGCTGTCATTTTTTTCCACTTATGTCACGGTTACCACGTGGATACCAGTACTTCCCTTCGTACGCTTTATCAAATTAAAGCCTGCCACCAGAAAAAAATTGAGATTTGTGTGTGTGTGTGTGTGTGTGTGTGTGTGTGCGCGCATGTGTGTGTAGTGCAATTTTAATGTCTCGGAGTCTGAAAGACATTTGACAAGAAATGCTGTTGCTTAGAAGCAACAATGCACACTTGAATAAATGCATTTATATCAAATGTGACACCAGTATAAGTGCTTGTCATAGAATGCATGATTGTAAAAAGTTTTATTTTTTATTACTTCATTCAAGAGGTTTAAAAATCCATTTGAAATATATGGATCTGAATGTCTAAATAATATTCTGTTCATTTTGAGTCTGGGGCGACATGTTATCTTAGTGGTTAGCACTGTCGCCTCACAGCAAGATGGTCGCTGGTTCAAATCCCAACTGGGTCAGTTAGCATTTCTGTGTGGAGTTTGAATGTTCTCCCCATGTTGGCGTCGGTTTCCGGGTTAATTTTCCCCCTTTTCATGATAATATGACAATCTGCAGTCTTGGCTGCTGAAAATCTACCTGAAATGTTCACTAAATAATAAAACAAAAATCATAAATTAGAAAACATTTTATATTAAATTGTAATCAATTTTACAAATAACATTTTATTTATTGTATTTTTTATCAAATAATTATAGTCTTATATTTTCAAATTACTATTCTTCAAATAATTTAAAGATTTTTGGGAAACACTTTATTTTGATAGTCCATTTGTGTATTAGTAGACTTTCTTCCTAATATCTGTTGATACTGCTTCTAAACAGACATTTAACTGACTATAAGAAACTTTGCAAGTACATGTCAACTTACACTAACGCTAACCTCTACCTAACAGTCTACTTATAATCTAATGAGAATTAGTTGCCATGTAGGTGCAATGTAACTTAAATTCAACAAACAGGCCATCAAAATAAAGTGTGATCAATTTTTGTATTAAAGTATTTAAAAGCCACTAGAACAGCCTTATATATTTCAGTATGATGTATTAATTATGATAAAACATTGCTGCTTCTTCTCCACATGATCATGACTAGAAGAACTGAAAGCGGTGGACAGTGGCATAATAAAAGCTCTACTGCTGTTGTGTTGCATCAGCAATTGATTCAGGCTCTCCCCGTGTTCACATGGGTTTGCCCCACAGTCCAAAGACATGCGCTGTAGGTGAATTGAATAAAGTAAATTGGCAGTTGTGTATGTGTATAAATGAGTGTGTATGAATGTTTCCTAATACAGTACTGGGTTGCAGCTGAAAGGGGATCCGCTGTGTAAAACATTTGCTGGATAAGTTGGCGGCTCACTATGCTGTAGTGACCCCTGATTATTAAAGGGACTAAACCAAAGAAAAATGGATGGTTTTTCAGTCTTACTCTATTTCATACTACCATGATAAGAAGTGTTAAATATTTCAGAAATATTTTTGGAGGAGTCCCATAGGATGTAATGAAGATGACAACTTCCATGATTCCCCACAGCAGCATCAAAACACATTTGTAAATATGTGCCCTTTAATGGCAAAAATCCCATACTGGGATTATAAAATGAAGTTTTAATCCCTAGTTGCAATATTTCCGATAAAGCCATGGCACATCAAGCTGATGTAAAATAATTATTGGCACCCCAATCTGACAGTATTGTCTGTGCCTTGGCCAAAATGCTGCGCTCAAACACAAAACGGCTACAGGCGACTGCAAATAAATATATTCAGAGCCTAAAAATATTTGCATATTAAAACACTCTTATGATGACGTAACATTAGAACAGCTTTTTTTCTGAGCTGTCTTTGCTTGCTTTTATTTTATTCTCTCGTACAACCCGTTCATTAAACCGAACATCCAATTAGAGTGATCTCTCTTACTGACAGCCTAACACCACTTCAACACACCAATCCCTCACTGACAGTGTGGATTTAACATGCTGAATTAGGCCAACTGCCATCAACGTGAGCCCAACTAGTGTCCAAATTTGAAACGTATAACAAAAACTAGCCCTACAGATTTTCACTGACAGCCAAATGTCAGCTAATGTTTAATGACAGCCAAAAGTTACCATCTTCAGGGTATCCATGGGGTCTTAAATTTTTTAAATAAAATTTCAGGCTTTAAAAAATATAAATTAACAGAAATATTGTTTTGTGTCTTAAATCATTTTTAACAGGTTTTAATTTTCCATGTAAAGCTACACAATCAAGCTAACACCATTCCATCTCAAAAAAAGTTTTAACAAAAGGTTATTTATTAACTGTATTTACCAATATTTTTTAATTATCTTTCTTACAATAACATTTGTTTTAATGATTTTTAAGATGTTTTTACTGGGCCATTAGAAAAAATCTTTAGCGTTTAGCCTTGTGTAAGTCCTAATTTCCTTTTTATAATAGTCAAGATCTTAAAAAGTCTTATATTTGACTTGATGAAACCCTGATCTTCTCAAACACTGACAGATTAATCTGATAACTTGTAAACCTAAAGGAAAGTTTATGAAAATACATTAATACATTTTTCTTAACAATATTACTCCCAAGCAGCCTCCCGTTGGGTCCTAGTACCTGCCCTTCTAGAAATTTATTCAAAGACTGATTGCTAGACTACTAAAGATGAAAGAAATGCTCGTTCCATCTAGGAGCAAAGCATCAACTGAGGTCATAAAATCACAAGTCTGATTTTAATTTATTGTAAAAAGCTAATAAATAAAGATCTTAAGCCGGACTCTGCAAATTAACCTTTAAATTAACACTTTTCAAAAACACACAAACAGAAAAGATGTTGGCATCAGCTCAACACAAAGCAGTTTGAAAATATAGGTAAAAAACCAATACATTGGGGATTGAAAGTTTGGGCACCCCAGGTAAAAATTGTACTAATGTACAAAAAAGAAGCTATGGAAAGATGTAACAATCTCCAAAAGGCATTAAATTGCAGATTAGCCATTCTTATAGTATGTCAAAAAAGTTATATTTTTTTACACTTTTAAAATAATTGAAAAGAAAAATGGCGTTTACAAAAGTTTAGGCACCCTGCAGAGTTGATATCTGGTACGGGTCATTAGATTTTGAGTATCAACCGATACCGAAACCCGATTCCATACTTCTATAATACATAAAACAAGAATAGAGAAGAGCGTAGAAACAGATCCAGGATGTTTCTTATTTTTTATGTATTCATCTTATTTTACATTCAACAGCTCTGTTAACAAACAGCACTGTGAGGTAGCTTGAACAATCAAGTAACAAAAAACAAATTCTTCAATTTTGGAAATCAGTGCAACAGTAAATATAGCATCTCACCTTAAAATACCCAGCAGGCAATCTCAAGTTTACATATCTCACAGTTTGCCGTGGTAATGTTAATGTCATTAACTTTATAATATCTCCAGACCGTAGACATACTCGCGTTTTTCGCTTCTAGCTGCTTTCGTGTTCTACTTTGCCAGCATTTAACCAGTAGCATCTCTGCAACAAAGTGATGTCATGCCGCACACGTTGCTGTTTCTGTGTGAAGTCAAGAAAGAGGTTTAACTCTGTGTCAACGCATAACTATAGATGTGTTAAAAATAATGAGTATATATATATTTATATAGATACATAAATATTCAAGTCCTGATCGGGAGGTAACATCCGATTCCAATGGAATCTAAAAACTGTGTGATTGGCCCCGATTTTTTAATCATGTGACCAGATCTGGCCATCCCTAGTATCAGTAGTACCAACTTGGCACATAATCATTACTTGAATATGAGGTGTAGCAGTGTTTTTCTTGTTGATTAGAGTATTTTTGCTAAAATGGCCTGCAAAGCAGAAAAACTCAATTAGAAAGCATTTCTCCATCAAAAATCATTTGCAAAGCTGTCTTTCTATATATGTAAAAAGATACTGTATTATTCTAGAAATCTTTTTGAAATACAGCTCACTCACTCTCTTTCTCTGTCTTTAGCCACACTGTACACCTCCTGCATCCTGGTTGGCATCTTCATCAACAGCAGTGTGCCCATCTTCTTGGAGCTGTTCATTGAGACGGTTTACCCTGTACCCGAGGGCATCACCTGCGGGGTGGTCACTTTCCTCAGCAACCTCTTCACTGGGCTTCTGCTGTTTTGCCTCACTTTTTACTTCACAGGTAGCTTCATATTTTTCTTCATTATAGACAGCAAAGCAAACTAAGCTTTTACTCAGTCTAAATAAACAGGTACACACAGCAGAGATATGGATTTAAGTTTTTGAATGACGATTAACTTTCGATGTGAGGCGGTTTTGATGAAAAACTGTGCTGGGAGATTGACTTGTCTGGCCTATGGCGCTGTGTAAATAGGAGCTTCCAGCTGAATATTGATGAGCCACTTTCTGACAGGTGTCTTTAGACTGACAGGTAGTCCAGTTTTATTCTAGCTTGGTGGACACTGTTTTGTCAGGTTAACAGAAAGGCTGTTGATGTTTTTCCATTCAGATAGACACCCTGTCATGATGGGTTATGTTTAATAGTGTGCCTACACAACATATATACGTAAATAAATATATTCATTCTTGGGGTTAAATCACACTTGCAATATGAGCACTAAACAGTGAAAATGAATCCCATAGATCCCAAAGAGAAATCTGATTTATAGAGGACTAGAAGTCGATAGAGTTTGAGTTATTAGTTATTAGTTTTTAAAGAACCCCTATTTTGCAGTTTAAATGGTCATATTTTGGTTTTTGGGGTCTCTGATTACAGGCTGATATGCATGCAAGGTCAAAAAAACGACTTTTACCGAATTATCCCAACGACTCCCATATGATTTGTTCAGCGATTCATTTGCTCCCAAACCTCTCTTTTGCGTAAGCTGATCTGCTGTGATTGGTCCAATGACCCAGTCGGTTGTGATTGGTTGACTGGGTTCAGTGCGAGACAGAGAGAAACGCCCACCACAGATATGAAGTAGAACAGTATGTGAGAGCCCAATACAGGAATGCATTAAAGCAATGCAGTTAAACACCAGCATATTACTCCACTTTTAACCTTAACCCCATGTAATAACAACACACATTTAATTTTAACCCACACAGTGGCAAAAGTTGAACTATTTTGAAAATTGACTGTGTCACGCATGTGACGAACAGCTGATGTGGCCATAGCAAAGGCAAACAGCAGAGGATTGCAAGTTCAGAAACGCATTTAAATCGGTAAAGGAAAAAGCACGCGTTGTATTTTCAGCGGGCTTTTGGATGCAATATGTGAATAACCCATAAACATTTAACCTGAGAGATACAGTATAAACTCTGATCTATAATAGATAATTGATTACAAGCCGTGCAGAGCGATTACAAGTTACAGCACAGTTAAATACATATTTTGCAAACTACACAAAATGAGGCAACAACTTTAAATACATTTACAGTACATGTTATGATCCGGAAAAAGAAGAAACTGGTCCATCTGAACTGTAACAGTTACTGACTAAAGCTGCGGTCACTGGACTTTTCTCCCCATAGACTTCCATTCATACGCACGTTAATGCGTCGGACCAGAAACGCAAGGTCATGCTGCAACTTTCGCAAATCACTGCGCTGGAAAGTTCACGCTTGGTGAACTCTGACCTGCGAAATCGCATCTCTTGACTGCGTGAGACCAATCAAGGATCAAAACATGACCTCTCTGTACAGAAACTTAACATATGGAGCAATCGCTTGCTTTTTTTAATGTCTAATCATCTTGTCTAATTCCGCCCCTTTTCGCAGCGCTGTATAACAGATTTTTGCCAGCTCAAACTCTGGTGTGACTGCAGCTTAAGTCTGATAAAGTCCCATACATAATAGTATCTGCTGCTCCTGTCTTTAATAGTGAACGGCCAATGAATCCTGCATTGCAGTGTAGGCTATTGTATCAAAAATCAGAAAACAAACATCAATAGGTTGGCTATACTGTGGTATTTTTATGAAAATAAACTTCAACCATTTTATCCCTGCAGCCGAATCTCCATCTCTCAGTGATCATCATATTAGCATCATGATTAGTCCCGTTAACCCCTGCGCTCCGCTAGTGTCTGAAGAGAAAGGTTTTACCGGAACCAGTTGTACATACAGTATTTGGTGATGTATCGTATCAACGTTGACGAGTTCAAGCAAAAGATTTGAACCCAACACAATTCATTTATTAGACTCTGAGTCGACTATTTCGTTAAAGAGTCAAGAGTTTGTATTTCACAATGTATTTCAGATTTAAACCTCAACGGATGTTTTCATTCACTTAGTGCGGTGTTACACACTACATAGAAGCTCATTTTCAAAAACTTTTTAATTGTTAGGTTTTTTGTTGGTATGCAGCTACCTAGCCAACACAAAAACAAAAACACAGGTAGCATTTAATTTTGTTCATTTAATTTTTTACGTTTTATTTAGCTCTACAAAAACAATAACTTGAAGTATTTCAACATTACTTATTAATAAATTAAAATTCAACAGTTAATTCTCATTGTTCCCAATTCTCAGGAACAAAAGCAGGACTTATAACATTAATTACCAGCAGCTCCTTTAAGAAATATTATGCACATACACAAAGTTATGACTTATGTTGTACATTAGATTTATTCTATTTATTCTCACTCTGTGAGCAAATGAAAACTAAGAATTGAATTTACACTTTTTTTTTCTTCTCATTGTTGCAACTGCACTTGACCAATTTATTAGGCTTACAAAAAGACCAACATTTTTGTGTTTAATTGAGTTGTGTGATGCTGCGTATCTCTCATTTGTTTGTGGGTGCGAGCCATTTTTCATGGGTACTAAAGCTTAGGGTTCAGAGCATCTTCGAGACATCGCTGTATCTTCATAGCAATGCTTAGGAAACCACCCACAACACTTGTGGGTGTTACGTTTGTCAGGGACAAGCACCACTCACATTTTCTTCAGAGATTAGCTTATGTTATGAATAATACAGTCATCAGCCTCTGTTCATACTGGCCACTGTCAAATCCAGATGCCCGCTGTGATACACTCATCTCCCCATTCTGTCAGTGGCTCTGACAGCTCTCTGTTTTTATGAGCAGTCGGGTTGCTGGCCTGCTCCCAGGTGTCAGGAACGACTGCAAAAAACTCCCCAGTCTTCCTGCTGATCCCTTGGAGAAGATTAAACCGAGATGAGTGAGCTTAACTGGCTCATCCTTTCAAATCTGATTGGGTTATCGGTCCCAAATGAAGCCACGAGATTCGTTCTGCCTTTGTGTGGCTGTCAGAACAGCGGTGGCCTGCCAACACCGTGCAATGGCTGAAAATAACGCAGAAACAATGAGCTCTCTATATATAGCAGGTTATTACGTTGGCATTGCTATTGAGTTTTGAACACTTTGTTTCTGTTTAGGCCAATTGGTGTGTAGGCGCTGAAGAGATGATGGATGGATTTCTGTTTGTTTCATCAGAACCATCCTGCAACCTCTCGCTGCTCCACTGGCAGAAAGCCCTTCGCAACATAATAAGCCCTCTGTTAACTAAACTGCATAGGAATCCTCCTCTTAAAGGTGTAGGTTCACTTTAAAAAATCTTTGAGAGTTTACAAGGATTTTCAAGCAAATGTACATTTACATAAGATAAATGCTCAAGGAATATCATCCTTGAACATCCGTTGATGTAATGTTCTTCTATATTTTTATCAGTTTTCAATGTTATTTTTAATTTTTTATGAGCTAGTACTTGGACACAATCATTCAACTGTGAGGGTTTCTAGCTAGTGCAGTGTCTCTCACCTCATTCCTGGAGGACTGTAAGCTCTGCATATTTTTTTTGTCTTTTTAATCACACTTGATTTAGATCATCAGCTCTTTAACAGAGACTGAGAGACCTGAAATGGGTGTGACAGACAAAGCAGATATCCAAAACATTCAGTGTTGGTGTGAGTGGTTGAGAAACACTGATCTAGAAGACCACTAATTGAGTCAAATTTTTCTGATTCTCTGTACTTTCATTTTCATTGACTTTAGTTCATACACACAAATATTTGGCCCTGTTAACACTGTCAGATCTTGATGCCCAATTCTGATTTGTTGCCTATATCTGATGTATTGCCTGTCCGTTTACACGTTCTTTTAATTGTGACCCATATCTGATTCATGTGTTTACACTTGCCATACAATTTATAATGTTGCGGGATGCATAAAGGCAGCAACATCTGCACATTACTAACCACAATAGAAGAAAAATTACCTTGATTTTATCTCTGTGAAATATGCGAAGTCTGTACAACTTTAAAATGATTTTGAGGCGGAGGAGGAGGGAAAGGGCCGTCATCGCAGCTTTGGTTTATTTATGGTGTCTTCCACCAATCAGAGGAATTTGTGGGTATGAGAGAGATCTCAGGTCTGATAGTTGCAAATTGTGGCGACTGACCACTTTCCTCCTCCATGTTTCCTCTGTTGTTGTTGTTTACCACGTCAGCGTCTCCACCTAAGCTCCTCCCTCTGCGTCATTAATCTTCGGAGAAGTACCACATTTTTGCAAGTTTAATAATGTACAAAACGGATTGCCTTTATAAATCTGATCTGCCTGTTTACATGGCATGTCGCATTGTCAGATTTCCAATTTATATCTGATTTATTTGCACATATGGCCTGATACTGATCTCTGAATATCCAAATGCATTCTTTTTTTGTGTTTACACGGTCATAGAACAGATCAAATCTGTGTTACGAATGAGCAAAAAATCGGAATTGGGTCACATATAATGGGCAGAGTAAACGGGTCCTTAGAGACCAGAAACACAAGCTCAATTTTGCTTCTTTACCAAGTTCACTTCTTGGAAAAGTATAGGTATATTATCAATGCTTAATTGTCGATGATCCTTTAAATTGATACACCTTACTTATTGTCGATTAAACCTGTGCATCATTAGTGTACTGTATGTTGTTTTTACAGCTTATGCTCAAAGCATATTAAAGGTTCCATGAAATTAAAATATATTTTTTAAAATGTTAGTATACTGTAAATATGTTACTTTTAAGAAAATCTGGTGCTCCCAGAGCTAAATTTAACAGTGACAAAATTTGCGTTTAGAAGATATAAACCTAATACGAACTATTGACTCTTCTGCTTAAATGGATAAACAAATTTTTTCACATCACCTCATACTTTAGCCTCTCATCAAATCTTGAC